AATGTCTTAGCGTTATGCGATGAAGCATCAACTGTCACATTAGTTGAGGAAAGTATTATTAGGGAAATAGGATTGCGTGGAGAGAACGAGCCACTTTGTATCCAGTGGACTAATGGTATAACCTCAAACATGGACAAATCTGAAAGATTGAATTTCAAGATATCTGGAGTGAGAGAAAATTCCAGAAGATATTCTTTGGAAAATGTCAGGACCGTGAAGGGGCTTTCTCTCCCAGAACAAACTGTAAATATGGACGATTGGATAGCTTATGAGTACTTGAACGACCTTCCAATTGAGAGTTTTGCCAATGAAAGACCAATGATATTGATTGGTCAAGACAATATTAATTTGATATTACCCAGACAGTTTCGAAATGGTCCAGATAACTTACCTGTTGCTACCAAATGCAAACTAGGTTGGTCATTGCATGGTCTTAGTCCTGGTTCAGGTAGCATGCATGCACAGATCTTCCATATTTGTGATAATGAAGTTCGTCTGGAAGAATTGATGAGGAATTCCTTTTCGACAGAAGCATTTGGTGTAGCTATGGTTTCAAATGTTTTGGGTAAAGAAAATGCACGAGCTATGGAACTTATGAATGAAACAGCTAGAAAAGTAGGTGATCGATTTGAAATAGGTCTTCTTTGGAAATCCGAAAATGTTACACTTCCAGAGAGTAAGACCGTCGCTCTACAAAGACTGAGTTGTTTAGAGAAAAAGTTCCGGAAAAATGACAAGTTCGCCTTGGAGTATTGTAAGAAGATTGATAGCTACCTAGAAAAAGGATACGCGAAGAAAGTTCCATCTGATGAAGCGAATATTGAAACATCAAGAACCTGGTATTTACCTCATTTTGCCACTGTGAATGAAAACAAGCCTGGAAAAATCCGATTGGTTTTCGATGCTTCAGCGAAATCTAACGGGGAGAGCTTGAATGATAACCTAATGTCCGGGCCAGATTTGCTTCAGTCCCTCACTTCGGTTTTATGGAAGTTCAGGCAGCGAAGATATGGCATATGTGGTGACATACGCGAGATGTTTCACCAGGTAAAAATCCGTGAAGTCGATCGATGTGCTCAGCGTTTTCTGTGGAGAGGATTGAACTTCGAAATACCACCAGAAGTTTTTGAGATGCAGGTGATGACGTTTGGTGCAGCATGTTCACCGGTTTGCGCACAATTCATCAAGAATTCGAACGCCAAACAAGAAGCTCCTTCAGAAAAAGTTTTGAAAGCCATAACTGAGAAATTTTATGTGGATGATTATTTGGATTCTTTGGATACAGAGGAAGAAGCACTTCAAATGATACAGGATGTTTTTAATGTTCATAAGCTTGGAGGCTTCGAGGTTGTCAATTGGATATCAAATTCGAATTTGGTGAGAAACACTCTGTCTGAAGACATGTTGATGATGAAAACATTCGAAAACGATGCTTGTTCACCTGAAAGAGTTCTTGGGATATGGTGGCAGTCAACCACGGATGAACTTTTATTCAAAATAAATGCTAATGTCTTGAAAGCTGCTGACTCGTCTAAGAGTTTCACAAAAAGACAAATATTGAAAAATATTATGTCGGTTTATGACCCTCTAGGCCTGCTAGCTTGCTTCACAGTTAGGGCGAAAATACTCATGCAAGATGTATGGCGGTTAGGTATAAGCTGGGATGACCATGTTCCCGGAAGTATCGAAGAAAGATGGTTGAAATGGCTTGATGATCTTAAGGAAATTGAAAAAGTTAAAATTCCGAGATGTTATTCCACTAATATTCCTACCGCAAAAAGACTCGAATTACATACATTCTGTGATAGCAGTGAAAAAGCGTTCTCCAGTGTAACCTATCTTCGCATTGTCGGGGAAGGTTTCATCGATGTAGCTATGATATCAGCAAAGACTAGGGTAGCCCCACTGAAACCTTTGTCGATTCCCAGGCTTGAACTTCAAGCTGCAGTGATGGCCAGTAGATTATCGCGCACAATATGTGATGAATTGGAGATAGAAATTTGTCAAAAATACTTCTGGTCGGACTCCAAATGTGTCATACAGTGGATACGAAGCGATGGAAGAGATTTCAAACAATTTGTGGCACATCGAATAGGTGAAATTCAAGAATCGACATCGGTTGAAGAATGGCGGTGGGTACCCACGAATGAAAATGTTGCAGATTATGCCACTAGAATTAAATTAAATGATTCAATCGAAACTATATTGCAAAACTGGTTTCATGGTCCACAATTTCTGAGAAATTCTGAAGAATATTGGCCTTCAGAAAATGAGATTACATGTACAAAGTGTCCAGAGTATTCTTCAGAGATGAAAGCAGAATTTGTAGCAGTATCTACTGAAAAAGAAGAGGATATATTCAAGATTGAAAGATTTTCTAAATGGATTCGCTTGATCCGAACTACTTCTTGGGTAAAAAGATACATAAACAAGTTATTAAGGAAAGTAAGAAAAGAATATATTCACATCCCAAAAGATCTGACAGTGCAAGAAATGAATGCAGCCGAAAAATATTGGATAGGAAAATCTCAACAGAAAAGCTTCTGGGATGATATCTGTACCCTGAAAAAAGATACAGCTTTAGACCGGAGAAGTCGTCTTAAACAATTGTGTCCCGCGCTTGATGAAGATGGGTTGTTAATTGTAGATGGTAGACTGAATTTGGCTACTCATATGGAATACCGAACAAAGAAACCATATATTCTAAGTCCAAAGCATCCATACACGAAGCTCATGTTGCAATACTATCATGAGAAATTCCGACACCAAGGTATAGAAACAATTCTGAATGACGTGAGACAACGATTTTGGATCATCGATGGGAGAGCTGCAGTGAAGTCAACATTCTCCAGTTGTCTTATATGCAGAAAATCGAAAGCGAAACCTGTGGTGCCAAAAATGGGACAACTACCAGAAGTACGGTTGACTCCAGATGGTCGAGCCTTCGTGAATGTGGGTATGGATTATTTTGGACCCCTGCAAGTTTGCGTTGGCCGTCGTCAAGAGAAGAGATGGGGTGTTCTGTTCACTTGCATGGCAGTTCGGGCTATTCATCTAGAGGTTGCGCATACTTTAACCACCGATTCCGCTATCATGGCCATCAGGAGGATGATAGCACGACGAGGAAAACCATCAAAGATCTTCAGCGATAATGGAACAAATCTCCGTGGAGCCGCTGAAGAGTTGAAAAAATGTCTAGCAGAAATGAATACGTCTGCTTTGCATGATACAATGGCTTCAGAAGGTATTGACTTTCATTTTTTACCACCTGCAGCGCCACACATGGCCGGCGTCTGGGAGCGGCTGATTGGTTCTGTTAAGAAGACCATTGGAGTTGCTTTATATAACCAATCTCTCAGAGATGAAACTCTTCTGACACTATTAGCAGAGGCGGAAAACATAGTAAATTCACGTCCACTAACCTATGTTTCTGTTGATGCTGCTGATCCTGAGGCGTTGACTCCCAATCATTTCTTGATTGGATACGGGAATCAGAACGGACCAGTATGTATCAGCGAATCAAACTCATCATTGCGTAAACAGTGGAAGAAATCCCAGATGTTAACAGATATATTTTGGCGTCGATGGGTCAAAGAGTATTTACCACGGCTAAATAAACGATCTAAGTGGACAGATGATAACCAAGAGATCAGAGTTGGAGATATTGTATTAATAGCAGATGACAACATACGAAGAAATGCTTGGACAATGGGAAAGATAGAAAAAGTATTTCCAGGGCCCGATGGAAGAATAAGAGTTGCCGAAGTGAAAACTAGTACCTCTACTTTCCGGAGGCCAGTCAAGAAATTATGCCGTTTAGAAATAAGTAGTGAAGAAAAAGAAGTTCCTTCACCGCGGGGAGAATGTCACGGCTAATTTATATTTTAGTTAATTCTGTACACATAGTATTAGGGGATTTTGACAGAAAAAGTGATTGAGTCAAAAATATATGATTGTAATGGTCAGATTCGATACGAAATAAAGTAAAAAGGTTTTCTGAAAGTTGAAATCTTTATATTAGCGTTAATACTCCTCTTTACGATTCTTTTGATGAACTCTGTTAATTATTACATACAGTGTGTTATTTCAATATTTCGAATAAATGTGAATTTTTCCTGAAGCCGAACCTGGATTTTCTCTTCGCCCGATAGGTGAATGAATTCAACGTCCCAAGTTTAAGCTCCATACCAAATTTTAGAAAAATATACTGGGCAGTTCAATACTTATAGACGAATGAATAATTATTCGAAATTGATAAATCGCCCTGTATCTCCATTATGAAAACTCTAAGACCTATCAAATATGGTATTTTCAGAACCACCTTGGTGACCCCTATCTACCATTGAAATATTTCCCTTTACCTGTGAAACACCCTGTATTCATATATTGAGGCTCCAAATGATTTCAAAATCATGATACTAGAGTTAAGAATCTAGAAAATCAATCAACGAATATTTGGAGCGGTGATCGTGGTGATTGGAGTAACTTCTCTGAGATAGAGAGAATCAATTTTAATTGGGAATGAACATAAAGAACCTGTCTTACTTGAAAGAATCCTAAACTTGTGAACCTCACGATAAAAATGTCTTCTCAATGTTTTCGTTTTTAGTCGATATAAGATAATTTTTTGATAACTGTCAACAGTCATTCCATGTCATTCCTTGTAGTGAGACGAAATGAAAAGTGAAAACCGGAATCGGAAAAATTGCGAATAAAACGACACATTAAAGTGATTCCGGTGGCGGAATCAGATAAATAAAACACAACTATAATAAAGGATCTAAACTTTTGCATATCAACTCTAAAAAACGAAAATTAGAACTGACCAAGATGCCCAGTTGTATTTTTGTAGGATAGTGAGTAGGAAAAGCCCCTATGGCCACCCATTCGCACATGACCCCAATCAGGGGGATGGAGTTGCCTGATTGAAAATAATAGCATGTATTTTAATTGACATTTTTCTGCTGCCAAAAAGCCATAACAATATTATTTCTTTTCAGGTCGTATTTTAGATGATGACAGTGAGTATGATTCAGAAATGGACGATTTCATCGACGACGACGAGCCTGAAGATGACTACTCGAAATACATATCCGAGATTTTCGGCTATGACAAATCTAGGTACAGGGATGTCGATGACGATGTAGACAATATGGAGTCTACGTTCGCCCAACAGATGAGAGAAGAAGTAATCAGTACCAAAATAGGTGAGTGTGATCAGGGGGTTATTTTGATAGTCCTTGATAGTTCATTCATTGTAATAAATATTCACCATATAGGTAACTTTCTCTCGTTCTAATACATGCGTCTATACGGAATAAAGTGAAACCGAATGTAATATTATTTTTTATTTATTTATTCTTATATTCTTATTACTATTCTTAAAGCTATATAATGATTCTCACTGATGAGAAAGCTAGATTTTTCAAAGTACACATTTAACAAGTGTTTTGAAACTATTTAGAAGTCCATGAAATATGTTTAAACTATTTCCATTTATCAATCCAAATGTTCTCACAACAGTGAGTGTTGACCATAATTCATAGCATCTAGCTTCCAGTCAGAAATAAAATTCTGGTATGAGGAAGTTGATTACAAACAACAATAATAAAATAATATAAGGTGACAACAACAACAACAACAAAATTTAAAAAGTCTAAAAATGCTAAATCGATCAAGTCATAAAAATAGCCACAGGGGCTAATCAGTAGATGGCAAAGTATAAATTTTATCGATTTTGTAATGAAATCATGTGTTTTTTCAATTCAATTTTAAATTTTGAAATATGTCTGCAATTTTTTATATTATGTGGTAATTTATTAAATTCAGCTAGAGCAGCGTGAGGAAATTTTTTTGGCCAATTATAGAAGTAGCAGAATCAAGATGAAATAAGTTTGTTTGTCTCATGTGATTACCATGAATTTCTGAGTTTCTTATTAAAATAAAATTGGATTTCAGATTATTGTTTATTATATTATATGAAACTTTAAGAGAATCTATTTTATATAATTCATCCAATTAAACTTTTTTTGTTATGGCATACAGATCATTTGTTGGGATATCAAATGAGAGATGATACAATACTTTCAGTGTTTTCTTATAAAGTGCAGATATTTTACTGAAATAATTTTTTGAACAGGATCCCCAAACTTTTATCATATAGGTAATACGACTGAGATATTCTAAATAGTTTAGTATTTCTTGAAGTTCTGCTTGGTATACATTGATTAAATCAAACAATTTTGAAAAAAATAATCATTCCATTATAATAAGTTCAAAAATAAAACAAATATAAGTGGTTTTTCGATGATTTCTCAAACTCTGCAAATTCATTTCACCACATATGGAAGCATAATCATGGATTTTTATAGCAACATTAAGCTAATAAGCACAAAATCTTAGTTTTGTGTACGTTTTAAAGTGTAGATGTGAGTGACACAATGGTGACCAAATGATAGAACCATAATCTAGGTGAGAGACTACCAAACTCCCTAACTGTATGGACAGTGAAATTGTTAACTTATTCAAGAATATGTCCCAACATCTACGACTTTATTGATACATTATTTATGTGTTCTATAAAAGTCATATCTCCATCAAAAACCACCCCCAAGTCCCTCACTGACGCTATTGATAGAATTTCCTCGTTATTAATGTAGTAAATATAGTCATATTTTTATTTGTTCCATAGAAACTTATGAAAGAACATTCATCAATGTTGAGACTTCATTTTGATCACACCAGTTATTTAAATTGTTCAGGTCTCTTTGGAGGTTCAATACATCTTTTTATTAGTTAACTGGTTCATTCAATTACAAATCATCGGCGAACAATAGATATTCACTACACTTCACTACTTATATCATTGACAAATAAATTGAATAATAATGATGCACAATGGACACATCAATATCATTTGAGCGATAAGATCCCAGTTTAACCCTCTGTTCGCTATCTTTCTTCAAATTATTATTAACAGATTATGATCTACTCATTATTGAACCAGTTGTCATGTTCTTCGTCAAAGAGGTTAAGATTATGGTTAACTCAATTCACAATTTGCATTTTTTATTTAGGGAATGAACATAATGAAAAGTTTGAAGTACTCCTTTTACTTCTGACAGACGGACAACACTTAACAGAATTTGCAATTGAACAATGTGATCTAAGAAATTCTTCTTGTTTGCTTCGATTCACTAACAAGCATTAGATGGGGAAAATTACCATTATTCAAAAGAATGTATGTTACCTGATTCAGTTTCAGTGAGATATTTCAGTTGGTTCAGAACGTAAGAATATTACTATATCCTTGGCTCATATTACGATATGAAAAGGGAAATTTGTCAGAAGAGGCTGAAAAGTGTTGCAATGTTTGATACAACATACTGGTAGTAGGTAATAAAGTATTGGTATTGGTAGGTTGGTTGGATGGTGACAGATGCGCTGCGACCAAATTAGATCTATTGTGCCCCATCTGCTTCTGCTATATCAAGGATTTCTTGTTCATAGCAGCCCTCAAGATTCAATTCCTTCAGCAATTTGAAGATTCTGAGGGGATCTAGTTGTTGCATTTCTTCCACAGTCAGCTGGTGTATTCCCAGTATGTTCAATCTATTGTGATGTAATAAAGTAATACAGAGAATGGATCATTTTTATAGTTCAATGCTTTATATCTTCATAATAATAGATATAAGAAAATAATACAGGTAGTGAATTTATGAATGATATTGATTGTTAAGTTTTGGCAACCACCTAGTTGGTTAGTTAGTTCAAAAATTAAAAAAAAATGTTTTATCACTCAATATTTTTGAAAAAAATTTTGATACTTATTCAGTTTTGGTAGGTATTAAACATGCACCTATATAAGATAATTCTTCAGGCAAATACATAAATAAATGAATAAATAAATGAATCAATGATTCAATAAATAAATATGTGGAAGAATGAATGAATTAATGAATTAACGAACAAATGAATTTGGTACCAAACCTCATCATCTAATTGATAACAATGAATTACCTAATACACTATGAACGCATGAGCATTCTGAACGGAACCCACCACGCCCCGAAAGAAAAAAAAACATTTGCTGGTAGTTTCTTACTTAGATTATTCCTCTATATTATTCTATCAAGTCCATAATTATACAATAGAACGTACTCAGCACAAATTCTCATGATTTTGTGCATATAAACTTAATACAACCATAGAGAACCATGATTACATATTAATACTTGATAAACTGAAGATGCAGACTCTGAAAAATCGTAGAATAAACAACGACTTATGTTTCATTTTCAAATTATTCAATTGATTTATTATTGTGTATACGAATTTGCTGGAGTTAATGAAATTTAATGTGTCAAACAGAACTTTATAAGAAATACAAACGTCTTTCCAATAACACACCATTCTACTAATTATGGACAACATTCGCCTATTGAAAGATAATTGAAAACAATTTTGTACATTTTTTATGAATCATTGAACAGCTTTATAACACTTGTCAGATCTTTGGTTCAAAGGTTATTGAAATTTCTGGCATACCTGCACAGGGTGTATCTAAATAACACCGAAAAAATTCAAGGAATGATTCCTTGTGATATTCTAGCAAATTAAGTTCATATATACGTGTGACCTAACTTACTCCATTTTTGAGATACAGGATATTGGAGTTGGAAGTATTTATTGTCTTTATTTATAACCTCCCTGTATAAGGTTTCATGGTGCCAAAATTCAGTATGGTTGGAGACTGACAAAGCCCCAGAATTTAAAAATGATTCTTATTGGGATTATTTTGTAATCTCAATGGAATTTTTGAAAGTTACATTGAAATTTTGAGCCAAATCGAATTTCAATTGTTTCCTCGAAAACTAAGCTAAATACAAAAATCACACAGAGGATGAAAAAGTGGTTATTTCAAAATATAATATATAAAAATATGAAACTCATAAACACTGGTGGGTGCACAGTACAATTACATTCACCATAAATATCGATGCTTTTACCCTCTGTGACGCAACTAGAAATATTATATCAAATCTAATTGCACCAGCAAAAGCTCCATATTACTATTGACAAGACCACATCGTTTTATTGAATTCGATGAAAAGACACTTGAGTAATGAATAAACAACGATTTTTCATGGAAATAATAATACCCTGTATCTCGAAAATCCAAAAATTTTGTTGGATAGCTCCCAAAAACTCAAATTATGGAAAGACTTGATCTGACTCGCGTTTTTCTACTCTCAATGTGGAACTTAACGACCAATTCAAAAATATCATATCAATAAAAAATAATGAAAAATGAGAAGGAAAAAGCTAAGTAAAAATAGATGAAAATATTCCATAGTGGTGAAGATCCTATTTCAGATTCATTTCAATCAGAAGAAAACAAACATTTCAATCTGAGTAGTTCAAGTGCTCATTATACACAAGTTGACTATGGAAATAAATATTCTAACACTATGGATAGCATGAAACATCATGGAGAGGAAATTCGACTGTTATAAGTAATAAAGAAACAGAAAGATTTTCTAATAGTAGGAAAATAAACTAATATCAAAATCCATATGAAACTCAATGAAATACTGGAGGAAAATTATAAACTAAGAGTCTTCAATATAACTGATGATGATATTATGGAAATTTCAGAACAAACCCAAATTTTTCTTTGCCTCACGACCAACCTCTTTCGAATCAGACTCTGATCTCATCCGAATTGTCCAAAAATATTAAAGTATGCTCTGCAATTTAATGTCAGAAATTATTCAATATTGAAAACCAAAACCACATGATTTAGCAGTAAACAAAAGACGAAATCAGTTTTTACACATTACACTTCCACACCTTACACTCCCTCTACTTTACACTGCAATTCTTTCACTGTACACCACACTACATCACATTTCTTACATTACACTGCACTTTCAGAAGGGTTTTTGAACAGACCTTCTTCTTGAAAAAAAAAAAAAAAAGAAAAGTTATTGATATCTATGTCGTTTACGTTGGAAAATATCCCTAATTGATTTCGATCAGTTCATATGAATATCCATAATTTTTTTCAATTCCATCGATAGGACTTTTTTTTTTTTTTTTAATCGATTGGAGCGCACGAAAGGGAATCCCTATAATGTTCAAAGAACATCGTGCGTTCCTAGGGAGGATAGGGACAGGAGGTAGGCATTGGAATTTTTTTTGAATT